ACAACGTCGAGTGAGGAAGGCCGGCCAGCGGCCGCTCTGTGCAGCCAATGGGGTGTTGAGGTTTCATATACGTGGTCGCGTCGTCGCACTACGTAACTCTCGTCAGGCCGTTAACGAAGACATAGTTCAGAGTGCAGAGTGCAACACGCGCCACTCCGTATGCATACAAACACGCACATTGCCTTGCTGTTTGCCTGCCGCAATGGTGGTCGCCTTAGCTTCCGTCGCAGCTGAGGTTTCTCGTGCCGCAGCCGCAGCCGCCGTCACTCCTGTCACTCGGGCGGCACGACACCGCTGCTGTTGTTACTGACACTGAAGGTGGTGTCCGACGAACGCAGCCCAACCGCAGGATCGGACTAAAGCGTCAGGCACCAGCACAGATCTGATAGGATCGCATCGCACGTCTCGTAGGGGGTTGACGTTCGCCACGCGTTTCTGGCATCGCCTGCCTTCTCGGCTGGTTATTTCTGGCTAGCCGCTTCTATTACACGTATCTGCGTGTTTGGACATTTGATCGCCGTCGCCGTCGCCGTCGGCCACCGCCATGTCTTTCACAGAGTTTCGACGGCGTTCGTCGACGCGAAGTTCAGGAAGCGGAAACCGACGAGGAAGCATATTCGACTTGCTGTTTCTGCTGCATTACAAAAACCGCGGAAAAACAAAGAGGTCGCTCAGAAACGAAGGGTAAGTCGAGTTAGGTTGACGGTTAGGTGTGCTAGTCGTGCGGTCGTTGTATCGTCCATTCCCTCATCCCTCATTTCCTTGCTTGTCGTGTCCGTGCCGGCGTCGGACAACGATTCGATTCGAAACAATTCACTCACTGTTCGTCGTGCATTCGGTCGCTCTGACTTCAAGTATAAGAATTGAAAAATTTCCTTTTTGAGTGAAACTACGAAAGTATTTTTCAGCACAGGCACGGAAGGAAAAACAAAACAAGGGAAATGACTCCAGAATTAACTTCCGAAACAGATGACAATAACTATTTGCATAATTATTGTACCTCAAGAATAAATAAACACGCGGAATGAACTATATGATAATGAGCATGGTCAAGTAATACAACTTGACTAAGGTGAGCTGTAGTTATACCGAATGCCTGATGACACATTTTCGGTAGAACCCAGTCCTGTCATAAACGCTAACATGTTGAGATGTCCTTTCCCACCGGCACTGTGCTAAATTTTTATGAATGGTGGGGATACAGTAATTTTTAAGGGTACTGTTCCTGATGTAAGTACCGTATGAAATTGCTGATCTGACAGCACGCAATGCCGACTCTTCCGAAGGTTGATCATTAAGTCTTGAGACAAGCACAAACGATTTTTTATGACCTTAAAATCATGGTCACGTAGCACAGGAAAGTCTAGAGCAACGGACAATGGAAAGAAGATATGAGGAAATGATGTTTCTGTCGCATCCTTGAACGTGTGCAAGTTCTCAGAAAGTAATTTCTGAACGTGACGATGTCTGACGAAACAGAATGATCATGTAAAGCCCATTGTAGTGTTCTAGCTGCATCACTGATTTGTGACAAATGTTCAGTTTGCGTTTAGAAAAACTAATAAATACAAGGTTCCTGGTATTGCGCATCACACAAATCAACTCATTAGTCCTTTGTACGGAGGTCACCTGAGGCAAGATAGGTTGAATGTTATTTATGCAAAAGATTTGTCATCAAATGACCGCAGAACGTTTGCAACTACAGTGTCATCTGCATATCTGATGCATTTAGCATAAGTATTGATATTGCAGTTTTTACCATCTAGATCGGTAATTCGTCTATACCACTATGGGCTGAAAATACAAGAAAGAGAAAGTTTGTAACAGGTGGAATTTCGATCTTGCTTAAACTTTCATGATGGGGCCAAGGGGCCATTAAAGCCCTCTTTCCATGAAATTGATGGCGCAGCGCTGATCTCCATTTCTACTATCAGCCAAGAGTACTGACTGAAATTGATCCGTGGTTCAATCCAATTTGGCAATAGGGCGGTTTTCCTCAATCTTTGGTAAGCCTCATTG